TTTTTTTTTTTTTTTTTTTTTTTTTTTTTTTTTTTTTTGCCTTCAGAACTGGGAAGCTCCAGACCTGATTTAAAGAGATAGGCTCCTCGGAAGGGAGCGTTCCTTGCCTTGGCATGAATTATTCAGGCTGGAGAGGCTGACACTTGATCCCCAGGCCACTCTGGTATCAGCAGAGCTGGTTGGGATAGAAGCTCCCCCATCCACCCCCCATAGGAATCAGTTAGTCTTTCTCCTAAATTAGGGACATTTGTTGGATTGACTTCTTCCCTGAGGTTATATTTAACAGATTGACCAACAGATCAATAGCACTTAAGGAGAAGAGGCCGACCCTGCGGTGGCCTGGGTCCCAGGCAAAGACCAACAACATCAAGGACCAGGTCTGTTGATGCTGGGATGGGGGGATGGGGGCTCCCCTCCCCCTTGCATCTCTCTTCCCATTCCCATCATCACTCCCAGATGAAAACAGTAACTTGCACATGCGTGATAGGACATGTCTATAAGATGTACTTGTAGGTTGTACATGCACATGTGTACTTGTACATGTAGAGGCAAGTTTGACACATGAACAGCCAGCCCAAGGTGCATCCACATGTGAGGAAATACAGACTCATGCTTACTTGGTTGTGCATACGCATGTATAGGAGGGTGTGTACCACCTTGCACATGGTTGCAGGCAGGCTCAGATATGACTCATGCAAGTACATGCAAGCCCATTACTACATGTAATGTACATACATGTTAACGTAGATTTGAGTATATGCTGGTTTGTGTCCATACATTCATAAGCACATACACACTTGAATATTCACTTTTCTGTTATGTGGGTTCCTGGGTACATTCTCTGCAGGGCAAGCTTACAGACCCATGCATGCAAGCACTTGCATCCAGAGATCCGACAACATGCTCCGAGCCCATTCCTGCCCCCCATCATGCCCTTGGTCTGTATAAGTAGCAGGCTGAGATATCTTTTCTCCTATGGGCACAGGTGCTCAAGCAGCCATTGGGGCTGTGCCCTCAGCTACTGCACTCCCCCCAGCCCTGACCCACATCAACGCTAAGCCCTAGCTCTGACATCTCCCTAGTGAGAGGCACTGGCTCTTCTTCCCTAATGTGTTTCCAGTACAGGGACTAGCATGAGAGAGTGTGCAGTAAATGTTTGTAGGTGGATGGATGGATGGATGGATGGATGGATGGATGGATGAAAAGGTCTCTGCTTCCCTGTTCCACTGCATAGAACCCCTTCTGCCTCCATCCTCTGAGGAATTACAAACCAACTGCCAAAGCCGGAGCCCCTTCTCTAGGACCCTGTGTGGCTGGTTCCTGGTGTGCTAATGGCCTCCTTGAGAAAGGGCTGCAGAATAGCAGGCAGCCCTTGGTGGGGGAGAGGGGAAACTAGGCATCTCAGTTGGAGAAAAGAGGCCCAGAAACAATCTAGAAACATCAGGTACTAGAGAATAAGGCAGCGACTATGTTTTGTAAGTGAGAAGTCTGAGGCCAGAGAATGAAGGACTTGCCTCAAAGCCAGTGGCTGTCTGGGCTTAACCTAGGACCTGGCCGTAGGCTCCTTGCGCAAGGCTTTGTCCAAGGTAGTGGCCGCGCTAGGATGCACTAGTGCAACAGGGAATCTCACCCAGATCCCAGGAAACTGAAGCTGGCAACAGATGCCAGGGTGGGTATGGTGTGACCTGGGACCTCCCTCCACCTCTGTCAACTTCTGGAACGTAGATGGGCTTCTGAATTCCTGTTCCTTTTAGTCTTCAGAGCGCTGTTGTGGCAATGCGAATGGAGAGTGCTTTGAAACAAGAAAAGTTGTATCAATTAGGGTCTGGGGGCCTTGTCCCCTCTGTGACAGGACAAGGCTTTGCCTTTTTCTGGGACTAATTAGCTCCTGTGTCGTTTTGCCCAGTTTCATCTCCCTTCTGCCCTCAGCATAGCAAGTTCATGGTAGGTAGTAAAAGGAATGAGTCTCTACTTGCTATCTCTGTGAATGCCCCTACCCAACCTCCTCCCTTCCCTCCCCTCCCCTCCCCTCTTTATGTAGGTGTTCCCCTTCTCTGTTCAAATTCCCCTGGATCCAAGTCTGTGAGCTATTTTGGGGTCTCTCTTCTCTGGAGGAACTTTCCTCTCCATGTTGTCATGCATTCAGTATGCAGTAGGTGTTCAATAAATGTAAGTCCAGTTGTGCCTGGGGCTGTATTCATTCTGTGATGGATCCACTGGAAGTATCTTTGTTCATACATTTTTCCCCACTTGGGGTGCTCTCTCCCCTTGACTGTATTCCTTCAGCACAGCCTGCTCAGGGCTCAGGTTGGGTTCTGTTCCCTCCAGGAAGCCTTCATGGTTTCCTTCTCTCTCCTTTGAATTTCACTTAGCAATCAAAGGGCTGATACTCTTCTGAGCCCCCTAACTGTCAGCAACTGAACTCAGGACTGGTCTGGTCTCCTGTGTTGTCATCTCTGAGCTCAGCATGGAGAAGGGACCAAATGGATGAAATAATGATTTAAAAATCTCTTACTTGACCCTAAGACAGGCAAGGTGAGACCTCCTCTACACTTTACACAGCCACTCAGAAAGGTGAAGTGCTTTCGCCAACGCTGCAAAGCTGACTGAGACCCAAGCCTGACAGTAGCTCAGGTTTCCTGCTCGTCTTCTATGCTGCAGCCTTCCCAATCCTAGGCTCTATCTCTGTAGAGTGTGACTAGGTTAGATCCCAGGGGACCCTGTGGGCAAAGAGCTCAGGCCCTCAGGGTTTCCTTAGGACTCAAGCAAATGAGTCACCCCAGCCCCACCCAAACAGAGTGACTGCCCTTTGCAGGTTGAGAACCACCCCCCCAACCTTGTCAGCTACACTGAACCCAGTTCTTGAATTTATTACCCCACTAGACTCCCAAGCCCCTCTCTGAGCCTTCCAAGGCACTGTCCCCTCCCCTAACTCCAGCTCCTTGACTCCTTTTCTCCCCCACAAAGGCCCTGCCCTCTATAAAGTCCACTGAGCCTTGGTAAGGAGACTGCAGAGGTTTGGCAGCTTTCCTGTGGTCACCTACCAGATAGCCCCTTCCCCACCTACCTCCAGTTCCATCTTGTCCATCAGAGATGTTTCAGTGTTCCAGAAGTCCTTAGGCAAGTTTGCCTTTCCAGATCTCAGTTTCCTGTCTGAAAAACGTGTGTGTGTGTGTGTGTGTGTGTGTGTGTGTGTGTGTGTGTGTGTAGACAGACAGGGTGCTCTTGGAGGGCTTTCAGTCCTGTGCCCCCTGACCTTTTAGGGATGGGGGTCATGGAAGGGAAGGCAATACTGTGATTTGCCCAAGTTGGTGTCCCCACCTCGATGTGTGACCTTGAACTTGGCCCCATCCCAGCTATATAGTGCTGTAGCATAGTCGGGTGGGGAAGACAGTCTTCCTAGGTCTGTAGCATCCTGGGATGTCTAGGGTCCCTTATATCTTGGCAGACTCCCCTTTTCCTCTGCTCTCCTCTTCCTCTGAGGCAAGTGGAGGAGCAGCTGGGCAGGGCTGACATGATGAAGTTCAGTCATTAGGTAGTGGGGGAGGCCCCAGGTTCTTTCCTCTAGTGTAGCCTGTGCACTGGCAGGGAGGGGAAAACTCCACTGCAGGCTTTGCTGTTCCCATTTCTCACTCCCCTCCTTCCCCCCCCCGGCCCCCCTCCGCTGCCACCGACCATGAGACACAGGAAAATCCATAGGCCCAAGATTCATTTTCTCCATTGAGTCAGCAGAGGCCAAACTCTGCTTTTGAGGGGCCAGAAACTGGCTTTTAAATAACTCTCTGGTATTTAATACCCTCCTCCTCCACTCTGCAGCCTGGGCCTCTGGGGAAAGGCTAGAATAAATGAGCTGGATGAGTCCTCTCAAAGTCATAAGTGTTCCTGCCTCCACCTCAACTCACCCTCCCCCACCCAGACTCCCAGGTCATTGGGAAAAACCTGATTCTTTATTAGCCTTGTACTGTGCTTTACAGTTTCTAAGTGGTGCCCCAGGCTGGGTTTGTTACCCTCAGGTTAGAATTGGAAACAAGTTTAGAGAAGGGAAAGTGACCCCATTTTACTTTTGGTCTTGGTCTACGCATGGCTGGCTACGGACTGTGAGCAGGTTCGTGTCCCTCTCTGGGCTTCTAATTCCTTACCTGTGCTACAAGGTGGTTCAGCCAGTGAGTGCTGCTGGTCCCTCTAGCTATAAAGTTTTTGTGGAACTGTTTCTTGCCTCCACACTCCTCTTCTTGGGGGAGGCTGAAAGGCGAAGCAGACAGAGGCTCAAGGCCAGCCAGGGTTCCAGTGTAAATTCAATTGAGTCAGGGGCAGGAGTTGGTGGGGGGAGGGGAAAGAAGTAGGGTTGGGGGGTCTTCCTTTCCTCCCCACCTCTCCCTTCCCATGTCCTTCCTTTCCCTCTTCTTCCTATGTTTTGCAAGTAAAGGCCAGGACAGATCAAGGGCAGTAACCTATTTAAATCTTGATTTCCTTAAAGCTCAGGGTCTCTGCAGTTATAGATGCAGTTTGAGGAGGTGAGAGCTAAACTCTCTAAGCTGTACTAGGTTCAGGCTCCTGACAGTGGAAGTTAGTGGGGCCAGCACTCCTGGCTTCACCACTGTTCTGTGTCATTTGGAAAGTAGGAATTGATACTTCTGTTGGTTATAAGAGTGATGCTTGGGGGCCACCCCAAATTAATGATGCCATAAGGCCTATGTTATAGGTTTTCTGGTTCCCAATTTGGTGCTTGTGCCACTGCCCTGTTGTATGCAGGAAGTTGGGGGCTGAGGAATGGGAATGGGAGAGGCAAGTGGGTTCTTGCTTAGATCTAGGAGTGACCTTAGTTTAACTTCTGTGTTACACTCTTGGGTCCTCATGATCCCCCTCAGCTACTCCAAACCTTCTACTTCTAGAATTATAGGATCTTGGAATCAAAGCACTGAATTAGAAGAACCACAGAGTTGGAAGACCATAGAACCATGGTCAGTTTGAATCAGAAAGTAAGACTCTTATGGTGGTAAAGGAAACACTTAGGACTTGTGGAAGGTTGTTATATTAATGTTCCCCTGCGATGAATCCTGCCTATTTCTATCTATACTTTAATGCTGTCCCTTCCCACACTGACTGGTTTGGCCAGTTGAATTCCTTTGGCTATTGAGACATCAGCAAATGTGATGCAAGCAGAGGATTTAAAAGTGCTTGTGCATTGGGACTTTCCTTTTCCGGGTCCTCTGACATCTCCATGTGTAGATACCCTGGCAAACTTCTTAGGGGAAGAAGCTAGAAATGAGCCATCCCAGCTGAAGCCTTCTAGACCAACCGGCCCCCAGGTGATCTTCCAGCCAGCTGCCTGGATGACCCTAGATAAGACCAGGAGAACTATCCAGCTGACCCAAGCCCAAAATTGCTGACTCACAGAACTGTGAACAAATAAAGTGGTTGCTGTTTTCAGTCATTATGTTTTGGAGGGGGGTGGTTTGTTACACAGCAGTAGATAACTGATTCAGAGGCTTAGAATTAGAATTATAGAGTCTTAGTCATAGATTCCATACACCCCTACAAGCATGTATCTTGGTTCCTGGAGCAGAGACTGGAATCTTTGATGTAGTAACTGAGGAATAGAAGGGCCCTGACAACTCTAACCAGTGCAACACACTCCTTTACAGACCGGTTGATAGACCAACTGACCCACTCACCCTCTTCCAACTTGGAGCCTTCCCTCCATCCACAAGGTCCTTTATTCTTTGGCATTTTGTTTATTCTGTCACAAGGTCTTCTTGCCCTGCCCCTGGGCTGGCTTTTCAGTCCCTTCCCTCTGCTTTAGGAAGTTGTCTCATGTTGCTCTCCTTGTTTTGGTCTTGGGGGCTAAATGCGGACATGGTGGAAACTTGTCTTGGTATTTATCCCTGTGCCTGGCACAGTGTGGGTTGATGAACATATCCTGAAGAAAACTACCACCACTACCACCAACCAAACTTCTCACCTTCCCCTGCGGTCCCCTCACTACAGCGTTCCTGATCTGTCCATGGTGCTGAATGTCTTTATCCTTCTTGCCACTGCCTGCCTCAGAATGGCTACTTTCAAAAGGTAAGAATCATTTCTGTGTCCCAGAATTAAATCTCTCAATCAATGCCCCCCTCTCTCTCCTTCCCTCACTCTCTGTCCTTCCCTGTCTTCCTCTCTTTACCTCCATCCTTCCCTCTCCCCATCTCTCCCTCCCCACCACCCCCATCACTCATACAGATCATTAGCCTGCAGTATTAAATGAAAACTAATATGTGGTGATGTATACTAATTAGGATTAGGTTCAGTGGTATGCATCAGAATGCCCAAAACAATGGTCTCTTAAATGATAAAAAAAATAAAAGTTCATTTTTTGTTTAAAAAAAAAAAGTCCAGATGTAGACAGTCCAGAGTCTGAATGGTTTCTCCACATTCATGAGAACCAGCACTCCTTCTGGCCCCCACTCTGCCTTTCCTAGGGTATAGTCCTCGTTCTTTGGTACAGAATGGCTGCTAGAGCACCAGCCATCACATCAGATAGCAAATGGAGACAAAAGATAAATCAGGGTGCCACTTCCCATACTTTTATCCAGCACTTTCACTTATATGGCCTCATCTAACTAACTTCAAAGAGCATGGTAAATATGTCTTTTAACTTGGAGGCAATGTTCCCAGCAAAAAGTTATAGTCATTATTATTGAAAATGACAGAAAAATAGCTATTGAAAAGTAACTGGAAATCTCTAACAGTGGTATTGATAGTGACAGTGACCATGGTGTACTAGTTGTGGTGTTGATGGTGCTAATGCATGGCAGTGGTGGTGGTAGTGGTAGTAGAAGCAGTGATAATGGTAATGGTGGTCATGAGAGTAGTGACGGTGATGAAGATGGAGGTAGTGGTGAGGATGGTGATGATAAAGCTGGTGGTCAGTATAAGCTTTGGTCCAGGAACACAGACTCACTCAAGCATCAGCCTGGATCAGGAGAATACCAGAAAATGGACCCAGTGACTGCAAGGTATTTGGAGCTCGGAGTCTGCTCCAAGCCACAGGGGCACTGCTGCTTTTCAGTGCATCAGCTCTGAGTGAGTCTCTTAAGTCCCAAGTCACCCCCAGCAAAGCACAAATCAGATTCCTTCCATTTAGGCTAGAAATAACTCTGGAATTAAAACTTAAGGCCTTAGGGAGGTAAAGCAGCAAGAGTGATACTGGACTTCCATTTATTAGACAGTAATCACTAACAGAATTTGTTGTTGCAGTCAGAGAAGGCTTTGCTGTGAAATGCACAGAGAAACACATGGACATGTAGTCTCAGAAATAGAAATAAACATTTACAAAGACAGGCATACAGAGAGAGTTACAGATGTGCAGAAACAAACAGCCCCATAGTCCTGGAGACTCACAGACACATTTAGTATCCTAAGGAGGCACCAGGCCAATCCCTCTCCCCAGAGACACAGGCCTTCCAGCCATCTCATTCCATAGGGTAACTTTCATATTACCCCTGGGTCCCTTGCACTGAAGGTACCAGGGACCAGAAGTGACCCTGAGGAGGGGGTTCAGAGCTCAGCAGCCAATCAGAGACAGAAACAGTGCGACCTTTGATACCCGTTGCACCTGCAGTGAGGCTGCGCCAGTGCTCCGCAGCCTGCCCCAGGCCAGCCGAAGTTCTGTGGCTGAAGGTGACGCGAGCAGTGGGACTTGGGTTGGAGGGGGTGTTCTCCAAGATGTCTCCCCTGGGAGCCCAAGGACACACCTGGAAGCCATTAGCAGAGGAGCCATCAGGCAGCAGGCTCTGGCTCCAGGTGAGAAGGCATGACAAGAACATGTGGCAGCCTCCTGCCTTCTGGAGCTGGAGGGTGGAGGACACTTTGGCTTGAGTAATTCCAGCATCACTCCCCTGGCACCCACCTAGAATGCCAAGGCAACCACAGGCTTTGGTTCTTAAGAAGGTTGGTGAGCCCACTTTTAGTTCACCTCCTGAACCTTGACACCAGACTTCTTGACCTTCACAGTGACAGGTATCTTCCAGGAAGCCTTCCTAATGACTCCTCTGCCTTCCGCCTCCTTTGTGTCTTTCTCTGCTACTGCTCAGACCTTCTATATGACATCGCCCTGACCTGCCTACCCTTTCTACTGGTGTGTGATTCCTTGTAAGTGGCGGCCCTGCCTGGCTTTAGCCGGTGTGGCCGTTCTCCTCTCTGTCCACCTGGAGCAGCTTTATTTCACTGTGGTTTCCATCCTTTCTTAGCGATTGAAGATGTTGGGGACCCACCTTGGGTCTTGGCCCCCTTCGCTGCTAATCCCTGGCCCTGGGACTCCTGACTCACCCATTTCCCATCTCTGGAGTGCTGGAGCTCCCAGCTCATGAAGGAGCCTACAGAGAGCCCTGCTCTTTGCAGTTAGAGCATCTATTACCACCAGACTAGGCCTCGAGAACTGGAGGTTCTTGCCACCCCAGAGCTGCCTCTGCCTTTCTAGTCTTATGTTGGCCATTTATCAGGATGACCCAGTGCTGGTTTCCCCAATAGATCAGGTTCTAAGTCCCTAGATTTCCCCAGCTGTGTCCCAAAATGATAGAGAAAGCATTCAGCTTCAGGCACACTGGGGTAGTTTCCCCTAACTCTTCAGGGACACTATATCCATGGGGATCTCTAGGAGCTCGTCACTCTCTGCAAGGCTGCGGGTGGGCAGGAGGACCTTGAAGTCTGGCCAGAACACTGATTACTGGATGCCCCACATATTCCTGGACTTAAGACAGGAACCTCAGGCCAGAGCAGTGGATGGCAGCCTGCGCAGTTCCCTGTTGGGCCAACCCCGAAGTCTTTGCCTCAGCAGCTCCCGTGGCACACCCAGGATAAACAGCTCTCACCCCTTCTTAGCACATTGCCTGCCTATGGCGGGGGCTTCAGCTTGGCCCTGCTAGTATGTCCTCAGCACTGCCCCGGGAAAGGAAAAAAGAAGCCAGTTGGAAGTTCAGAAAAGGAAAGGCTAAAAAGGAGCCCACAATCGGCCCTAATTAGCCACTGGGAAAGAGAAAAGGAGGTCAGAGGCCTGAGTCTACTTCTGAAAGAAAGCACCTGGCAGGCAGAGCCATGGCTGGTCTGTACCCCCACACTACACAGCACGGGGCTTGACCCCACACAAGTCCATAGCCCTGGCTCTTAGGATGCCCAGCTGGGGGAGGTCTCAACATCTATGCGTAGAACTGTCATGGCCCTCTCTGGGAGAGGCAGCCGGCTCTGGGGAAAGCAGGAGGGAGGAAGATGGGAGGAAGGGAAGGGTGACAGACTTGAGTGAGCTTCCTCTGTAGGCAGTGTGCTGACTTGAGAGGTTTACATACATGATTGTATTTAATTTTCACTGTGGTCCTGAAATGGAGGTACTTTGGCCTTAAGTTTTAAATAAAGAAGTGGACCCTCAGGTTAAGTAATTGACCCAAAATCACACAGCTTAAAAGGGGCCGAGTGGAGAGTCCAGCCGAGGCTTGTGCTCAGCAGCCTGTGCTCTTGGTGCTATAAAAGGAGTGCTTGGAGGGCAGAGCCCTCGCCTGCATCGTCCCCTGTGCCCCAGTGCTTGGCTGGGAAGGGGCAGGCACGTGGCAAGTGCAGAGAAGAGCTGTTGTACTCAACAGACAGGACAGGCTGAACCAGGGAAGGACATAAAAAGTGGGGGGGGGGGGGAAGGGAGGGATGGTGGAGGCAGTACAGAGACAGATCACTTCCATCCCCCGGGACATCATGCAGGGACCCCTGGGGCAGCTTTCCTGGGGCTGAGGACAGTGCTAGACTGAACACAGCTTGTGCCCAGCCATGGGAGAGGCAGGGGAGGAGGAAGTGCGGGAACAGTGCATTTCTCCTTCCCTCTCTGCCACTCCTCCTACCCTCCCACCCACCCCAGATGGTTAAGCTGAAGCAGAAAACAAAATGAAGAACCTTTAGCCCCTTCTGGAGCCAAGCCACCTCTGCTTAGCCTGGGCAGATCACTAGCAGGCCAGCTGGACCAGGGCCCAGCTGTGGTCCAGAGTGGGATGGGGGCCCCTGAGGAGGAGAGGATACACCAGGACTCAGGGCAGAGCTGCTGTGGGCACAGCATCCCTCCACGCAGGCTGAATCTTCTGGCAGGGGCTGAGTGTCCCTAACAGAGGAGAAAGGCAGCAGGATGAGGAGAGGGAAGAGAACCCTCCTTCAGCTTTCCTATGAACAGCCCAGCAGTAACTGGGGAGTAGGAGAGAACACATTTTGGGTGAGGCAGACTTCACATAGCGGCTGTCTTTATAACCACCACCCTCAAAGGTAGCGATTCTCAGTCCTGATTTTAAAGATGAGGAAACTGAAGCCCAGAGAGGGTAAGCAACTTGTCCAAGGCCACAGTGTGCGTAGGAGGAGGGCTGAGATTCCACCCCTGGCCCTTTGGCTCCAGGCCTGCTTTTAATCATCATCATCTCCTGAGAGGAGCAGCAGAAGCTTGCCTGTCTGTACCCACCAGCAATTAGGGGCCCCTCGGTATTGTGAATAATGTCAGTGGAGTGTGTCTGATTAGCCTCATCAGTGCCCAGCATGGGACACATGTGTTTTTAAGATGGATCACCATTATCCTTGGCTGAAGAATTGCATGGGGTTTTCTAATTACAAATTATTCCTGCTGGATTTCATTATGCTCCCTCTTGTCTGGCTTTTTATGTTCCCTATCTTACAAAACTTTGAAAATCATAGTTGGCTAAGCTTATTTTCTTGGTCTTAAAATATACAGCTAAGCTTTTATTAAGGCACAGTGTTGTTATATTTTTAACAAGTGAATGTTTGACTCAATATTACAAGAAGGCAGTGATTATTTGAATTTCACCATTCCACATTTATAACAAGTCGAAAGAGCAGGATGGAAATTTATCTTCCTATAGAAAACCTTCATTCATTCAGAAGGCAGATTTCCTGGGGTAGAGGGAGGTTCTCATTTAAGTGTTTTGAACTGCTTTCAGCCAACAGCCAACTGTTGTAGGCAAGTCGCCTGTATTAGATCATTTCTAAGTGAGACTTTTCACTGAAGACTAAAAATTCTTCAGAGTTAACAGCATTAACAAAGACAG